TGGGAGAATGGGGGAAGCGGTGGGATTCTGCGGTGTGGGCTCTGCGGCGACGGCGAAGTCTCCGCCGATTCTCTCCACAACCCTAGGGCGGTTTCAGGGCGTGCTTTCGCCAAGCTCGGTTTCATGGTGGGGACAGGCGTGGGCAGCCCGGTGGTGTGTGGCACCGGGCGGGCGGGTGGGGAGGAGGGGCCATGAGTGGGGAGGGAGGGGGCGGCGGAGGGGTTGCGGTGGAGGTGTGCGGTCGGCGGCGCGTGGGGGAGGGAGCTCGGCGGGCGGGCGTGGGGAGCACGATGGAGTGGGGGGGGAGGAGGGCGCGGGGGGGGAGGTCGACGGCGCGAGGGGAGGGAGGTCGATTTGACGCGCCTGACCACCGATGGAGTGGGGAGGAGTGGAGTGGGGAGGAATGGAGAAATGGCGAGTCGGCCGGTGGCTTAGCTATTTTGCGGCTGTTTGCAGTGTCGGCCCGATCGACACTCGGCAACGCTTTTTTTTAAAAATTCCATCAGTTTGCGAGTGTCGGCCGATGGCGCACTCGGTAAACTACTTACAAATCCCTGTTCTCCCTTAAAAAATTCCATCAGTTTGACGAGTGCCACCTATGCAGCACTCGGCAAACTTATTTCTATATTTCATGCTACCCTTTTCTTTCCTCTACTTAATTACTTCCCTCTATTTCATGTTTCACTAATTTCATGAAATGAACTTGCATTACACTTTGTTAGGTGCACTCACAAATGTATATTTCAAGCTTGTACAAAAATTGGACTATTATTTCCTGTGTTTGTATATCACGCATCTAAAATTCAATAATTGCGACGAAAGAATTAAAATTACGAAATGGCTCCGAAAAATTGCCAAAAATTCACAAGAAGCGATCTTTGTTATCTATTATATATACAAAAAAATTTGAAGTGAAACTCCAAATCGACATTCAAATTGTCTCATTATCTTACCGGATCTTTCTCACATCTCAGAAACTTCTCCGGAGATGATCCGATTTGTAAGCAACGTACGTGTCAACTTTGTCGAAACACTCTCAATTTTTTACCATAGCCTCCACGTATGATATCATGACAACTCGACGAATTTCATGATTTTCAGACTTCGTTTGTTTTTTATAGATTTTTCAGACGTTTCCGCCACACGTTTCTGCTCATGTTTCGCGAACACAATGTTCGAGATTTCTGGTCTGACCCTGGATACGGTATCAAAACAGACTCAGTGAAAATAATATCATTTTTTTATTCACTTTTTTCGGATATTCGAAGCACTTGCAGTTCAAATCCAAAAAATTACCGAAAATTCATTTGACTAAAATAAATTGACGAAATACAGTAAAATAACTCAGAAATGTACATTACTTGAACACAGAGCAACAGGTATTGTAAGACAACAGTACAAAAAGTTTGGGGGGCAAAATAAAAAAAAAATTGTTTGCCGAGTGTCAGATTCTGACACTCGGCATATAACAGCGTTTGCCAAGTGTCAAAAGGTGATACTCGGTATCGATGTGTGTTTGCCTAGTGTTGTATTTTGGCACTCGGCATATAGGTGGGTTTGCCGTGTGTTAACGTGTGCCACTCGGCAAAAGGATAATGGAGATCGACGGTGTTACCGGACATGAAGTTGCCGTGTGTCTATTTTTTACCGAGTGTAGGCACTCGGCATAAACTGTTATGCCGTGAGTTTTATTGTTGCCGAGTGTCGTCTTTGGGACACTCGGCAAACATATGTTTGCCGAGTGCCCGAAATCATGCCCACGGCAAAGGTGGGGACACTCGGCAAATTAGGTGTCTCCGGTAGTGTATATATATATAAGGAATTGTTAGATTTATATATCATGTGTACCACAAAACACGTCCACACCTGTGCGATCACATTGGAATTTGGAAATATAGATTGTTGAGCCGGACGATTACTTCATCCAACAACTACAAGATCGAACGCAGCATCTATGCATCATCTGTGGTGGCCGATGGAACTGAATGCTTTATGGTGTGTGTGCATGGGACAACCAGACACCTACATGCAGGTAGGAGGTAGCCCTTTTCAATCATGGGACCACGCAAGTCTGAACCGCCAGAATGAAGACCATGTTCCCTTTTGAGAAATTGTAAAGAGCGAGCGAGCTATAGATGGAATGGAAATGCGATATCTTCTTCCAAAAAATTTAAAGATCGAAATGCGCTATTGAATATTTTCTCTCAGCAAAGCCTTGAAGATAGAAGGTTGATAGTTGATTGTTAGCCAAAAAAATATTTTTCTACTATCCACTACTACAAAAATGAATCCAAGCCGTGGTCGAAATGGGCTCCTGCACCCAGGCAGTTGGGAGAGCAGGCCTCTGGTGACATCTGCATGAATAGGTAGGTCATGCTTTTGGGAGTGCACATCCTCACATGATTGCTGCTTGCTCCTGTTTCGGTTATCGCCTACTTCCTGTGGCAGCGCGTTCCAGAATAAGACGAGAATAACTACTTCCTAGTGTTCTAGTACAAAGTGTGCAGGGAACATCTACATGACTTCCTCGTTGCACTGCATCAGATTCTGATCGGCTACATTGAGCAGCCTTGATCATGTCTGCTGATCCAAACCACAGGGTCGCGGGCGCCTTTATTAGCATTGGTCCCGCTTCACAGTATACTTAGGATCCTATAGTAAAACTTTAGCCCTACACTTTTAGTCTTTTTTTCCATGGGGATCCAAACAGAGAGATTAAAGTGAGCAAATGGCTAAAATTTGGGTTAAAATCTTTTGCTCCAAAAGAGGCCCTAAATTGGGCTAAACTCCCTCGGGGCGGGCGCTGATGCCCCATACCCCTTGCCGCTCGCATGCATGGCTGTGCATGGATAATTAAATGAGGACAAATCAGTCATTGTAGATTAAAGGACTAAAATTTAGCCAATAGATCTAAACAGCCCAGCAGGACTAAAGTTTAGGGGCTAAACTTTAGTCCTTGGACTAGTGATCCAAACACCACCTTAGATTTTATACTGGGTTCATATGATCAGTATGCTAATTAGAGTATTTAGCACGGTTGTCATATGCAACTTAATTAATTAATTGAATGACTCTTTCACATATTTGTCACATACTATATCATATTGTCACACATAGAAATGGCAACAAACACATCGCTGGCTCATCATCATTAATATATTTCATCATGCAGTGCCATATAAGTAACCTACCGGCACAAGCCTCTATGGATATTACGCCGTGGAATACGTCATGGAAAGCTAAGCCAGTCAACTCTGAAAAAGAATGCCCAGAGAATGAGCAGCACATTTGAAAAATCATTTATAGAGGCAGACATCATCTTGAGGTTATTCCACAAATGCTCTTTTCAAAAATTGTAGAATTAGGCGGCCCGTCTTTGGAAACAAACTTCCAGAGAGGCTAGCTAGGCCACTGCCTCTAAAAATGGTTTATTTCCATAAGAGACAATTTCGCACAATCTCGGATGATCGATAAGCCCATCCCTAAAAGGCTAGAAACCGGTTTTATAGTAGTGGAGGCCTTAATCATTGAAACATTGGATAAACACCCATAAATTACTCTGAACAATTTATCGAGTTCGAGAATGTTTTTAAAATTTGGCGACAAGATCAGGGAGGCAAATCAGACTTTACTCGCTCAACAATATATCGATCTTTGCTTAGCAAGTATGTTTAGAAAAAAAAACAAATCATTAAAAAAAATTACGGCTCTCATTGCAACGTATGCGCTTTCACCAATGTTATATGCTAAAATTGTCAAAGGCAAACGACTTCCAGCAACAAACAGAAGTGCCATATTCAGATCCACCCATGCTTCATCTCTTAAGCAATGGTGGAGCGGTGCTCCCTCCAGATTTTATTTTCACCTAACTGGTTAGAAGTAACAGATGAGAATATATAGATATACGAAAAATTTGTAATGAATAAAATAACAGGGAGGTTTTATGCCAGTGATGACTATGCAGAGGAAGCACAGCTACCAATAGGAATGTGAAACACCCACATGATGGGCTCTGTTTGCTTGAACTTATCAGCCAGAATTAGCCCTACTTTTTAGCCATGGAAAAGTGTTTTTCTCTCACAACAAATTAGCCCTACAAATCAGCCGCAACCACAATAAGTCCTGCCGAACAACCCGTCGATTTGAGATGCTTCCAAGAGTCTATTTGGCATCATATCAAATGACAGCAGATGGTTTTTTCAAAGAAAAAAACTGACAACAGATGGTGAAGATCGTCCACCCATAAGAGAAAAACGACATATGGGTCCACCAGATTATCAACCATTGTTCTAAAAAAAAAGATTATCAACCATTAGCACACTATGATTTTTTTTTCTTCTTTTCCTCTTCAGCTAAATTTATTTTGCCCCAAATGCAGAGAAACTTAATGTCCATGTTTGATGAACCTAGTTGAAAATTATGTTTTTTCTACAACATTAATCGAACATAAAACCGAACTCTTGATTGTCTACCATCCTGCACTTCAGAAGGTAATATATACTCACTCAATTATGTAAGTGACCCAAGTCACACAATAAGTTGTCATAAAACCATGTAAATCAAAGGCGTCCCACAGTTGCCATACAGTAGTACTAAGAATGAATTGTGAGGCTAATCATACTCAGAGGTTACTCAAAAAATCTCTAAATACTTGTGGTTAACTCTAGAATATTGTTTACAATCAGCTAAAGTATCCTACCAAGATAAAAACTAAGTTAATTTTACTATGCTCTTCTATACTTGTTCATCTATAATAAAGGTATCTATAATTGTTCCATTGTCCACCCACCACTCGTGACGGCAAATGGTTCATGAAACCATAAACAACATCTAGTTCTGTATGGATACTGAAACTAATGCACTTGACCAAAAGTCCATACTTTTTTGTTAATCAGCGTTTACGATGAACAGGAACATCCCCTATTTTGGTTAATCTTCCCCGCTTGATGCAAATGGTATGTCGCAGGCTTGCAGCGAACATGTAAAAATGATGCTTTCTTTTACCCAAAGAAAAAAAATAATAAAGGAACTAGAAACAGATCCTCGGCCACCGGCCCACCGCTCCCTTCTTCCTCCAGTGGACGGAGCCCGTCAGGTCCTCGTTGTCGGCGATCTGGTACCTGCTGCTCAGCTAAGTCTCCCTCTCCGAGGCATCCTCCGGAATGCCATGCGTGAAGCTCCTCATCGGTCCAGTCGCCGAAGATGTTGAGAACGGGGCCGCGGCGGCGGAAGTTTTCCTTGAACACCGCGTACCGGTGCTCCTCCTCGCCGGTGGAGTTGTAGGTCTTGTTGCACTTGGCCATCCACTCCACGAACATCCGGTGGGTCTCCTCCTCCTCGCTCCTCTCCCAGTACGACATGATCGACATGTACGCCGCCGCCATCGACAGCAGCAGCAGCGCCGCCGCCGCCGCCTTGAGAGCCGTCGAGCGCCTCATAATCTCCCAAAGAGGAGGCAAAGACGGGCAACGGTGGGTAAGTGGGGCGAGTAATAAATGATACATGTGGGCCTCGGATCTTAATGTGGAGAACGTGATGGATTGTAGTGGGCCAAATTAGGCCTGCAAACGAACACGGGCTGTCCGCAAGCAATCCCGTTCATAGTTTTTGTTCCAAACAAAATTCTGGCTGGTGAAACAATGCTGACATGCATTGACTTGCGTTGCAAAATTTGGTGATAACTGTATAATTTACAGGGAAAACAAGCTGGCATAAACAACACAGAGGGATAAACAGACTCAATTCGGCATGCAAGATGCAGCCAGGGTTTAGAGCAATTTGCAGGTTCTTCATGCTAGAATGGTTACTCCGAATTTCCTTCCTTAAACACCTTTACCCACTTCTCAACACTGTCAATTACTTCACCGGTCTTGACCAGGTATCGGACCTTGGTCCCGTCCTCGAGGAATTTGTGGCCAACCCTGCTTGCCACACTCTTCTCCTTCGAGTAGAGCATCACATTTGAGCTATGAATGGGGCCTTCAATCTGGTCAAAGGAAATTTTTAAGTTTGATCAGGAGACAGCAATTAGGCACCTAAAACTACATATATGCTTTTGAAATCAATATATGCAAAGCATCATGAGAGGCCCAAAAACAAGTTCAGTAGAAATTTTGCTGACCATGACGATTTCACCGGGTTCATCATCTGTGCCTTTCTTGTGCTTCGACTTCAAGTTCAGGTCCTTCACAAGCACCGTGCTGTTGTGCTTGAAAAGGCGTGTAACTTCTCCAACCTTTCCTTTCTCACGGCCTGCAATGACCTGTACCGTGTCCCCAATCCTAACATGCATCTTGTGCAGCACAGGAAGGCTGTTTGGTTTACACTTCTTTCGCTCCCATCTCTTAAGCTGCAGTGGAAAGTGAAAAATTAGGACATTTAACATTATATTGGAAAAAAGATCAAATATTTGGACTAAATATTTTTACTCACTCTCATTTCAATGGGGCATATCTTGACCATAAATCTTATCTGCGTATTGAACATATTAAACAGCTTGTCAGAGCTTCACATGAAAATGACATAAGGTTTCATTTCAAATAAAAGAGACACTAATCAGATGCTTTTGAGATATGGCATGACTCATAGTGGTCGTGGTTCACGGTGATCTGATCAAGACACTACATGATTCTGGGCTGCTCTTTACATATATTTCTTTGTGTATAAGCTATCCCTTGAAATACAGTAGTTCTATCACTTCTTTCAACAGTGATTACTTAAATATATAGACTAAAACAGTTGGCCCACCGGAGACAACATAATTCCTCATTTGACATCTTTAGAAACAACATAATTTCCTCAGTTAACATACTAAATAAAGAGTGTTCCCATCCAACACCGCATGCTCTATATTAGCAGTAAAAAGCACACATGTAGTTGTATATGCAAAAAAGGACAATACCTGAGTACCAATGACAAAGGAAATTCTTACTTAAATTAATGTCAATCGGTTAATCTGTTTGGTCTACTCAAATCTTACCATTTAAACTTCCATACAAGATAAAAAAGAAGGTAGAGGAAATTCAATGTTTGGCTGTGTGGGTTCGCAGAGGCCGGAATTTTTCCGTTTTTCTAAAAAAAAAGAGGGAAATTCAATACAGCCATGGTTTAAATTTAGTGTGTGTTGACGTGTGGTGCGGGGAGCAAATGGAAACTCGCTGCAAAAGCTGAAATCTAAATAAACATAGTCATACTAGTAGCCCTGGTTTGTCAGCCTTGAAAATGCACAATTAATAACAACGCAAAAATGTTGCTAATTTTCCATTTCATTGCATCCAATCCATACAGACTAGCTCCAAAACCTCCAAATCACAATGCAAGCTGGAATGTCCCAAGAACAATTCCATCCGACTGCGCTTTGCAACCCTATCCAGGTAGTCCAGACTAGAATATTACACCTGAACAGCTATTATTATTTAGCAAACCATCAGAGCAGCAGATGAGCAGAACGGAACGGAATTGGGAAGCAGGAACAGACCCCAGGCTGCGGCGCGGAATAGGTGGCGAGCCGGTTGCCCCAGAAGCTGCTGGTGCTCGCCGCGCCGGGCGCAGAGATGGAGAGCGACGCCATGGCGCCCTGCAGCGCCGCCATCCCAGCCATCCTCTCGCCGCTCTCCTCTCCCTCTCTCACTGGACTCGCTCACCCCAAACTGCTCACAGGATAACGCACACGCCTTCGTCGAGTTCGCCGGAAGAGGATAACGCGCGCTTCTATCTTCTGACACTTGTGGGTTGCATTATACATGGGCCTAGACACTAAATCGGCCAGGCCTCAGGTGAGGCGCCGATGGGCCTGGAAGAGGCCTAGGTTATCCATTGAGGCCCATGGGCTTCTCGTCTTCTCCCCCGCCGTGAGATGCTGGGGCCTCGTCTCCGTCCAGCGAGCTCATGGCCTAACGCCGCACGCATCAGTATCAGCATCGCTGCATCAGCCATCAGGAGTTCAGGACGAGGACGGCGGGGGTCAAGGGTCTCTCTCTGTGTGTCTCCCCACACGCCACGCTAGGCCACGCAAGATTGCTTACCCGGGAGATGCGTGCCCGCCTCCAGATCCCCCGTTCGAGCGCCGAGGCGCGCAAGCCACGCGACGGCTGCTGAGGCAAGCGACCCCCCTACTCCACTCTATTCCACTCTACTCCACTCCACCTGTATCTTGTGAAGCTGCTGAGTTTACTGCTGATGCCATGCCAATGCTGCGCCTACGGCCTACGCATAGTTTTTTCACTTTCCTGTTGTGTAAAAGAAATTCGCGTTACAGCGACAGTTTGGGCGGTGGAGGGTGGGTGGATGGCGGTGACATCGAAGCTTTGCGCTTTTGCTGCTGCAGGACCCCATTCTACACCGAGGAAGGGTGGGATGTCAATCGGATTTCTTTATTGCGAATCATGGTTGCAAGTTCGGTGTTTTTATCTAAGATTTCTTCAGAGACATTGGGTATCTTTTCTCAAAGCGAACTACATTTCTCCCCCTCGAAGTCAATGTCTTTCTTTGACTTGTGCATATCCTTAATCCTTGAATCATAGTAGGATATCCATGACAGATCACATAAGCAACACGTGCAATACAATACATCACTGGGCAGTTGGTCCTGGCCAAGATGCAGTTAGGAACTCAGGATCACTATCCCAAAATCGCTCCTATCACTGTCATCTAACTACCATCTGGGGAATCAGGAATGGTCCTGCCGTGCAAGCAAACCATTAACGTTCCCCATGGGATAAGCATGTGACTATGCAAATGTTTAGGGACAAATTGTACCTTATCATGGTTATAAGAATCTTGTATTTGTTTCTCTTTCTCTCCTTTTCTATTCACTGCACATGTTGAGATCACTATACAAATCATGACACAAAGTTTTGTTTTTATGTGGCGCTACCAAACGAAATGGATAAGGAAAGGTGTGGCTTTTTTTCCAGGATAATTGCAAGAGTTTCGTTATCGTAGCTATCTGTTCCTCATGACCATAGTAATGCTTTGCACTTTGATAAATTTGTAAGAAAAGAAAAGTCATGATCTAATAATAATTGATAAGGCCTTCTCATTATGTGGCTAACTGTTAAGGACTCAGCAATCCTCTTCCTCTCTAACTATATTTTTTTTAAGGTATGGATGGTAGAGTGCTGGGCAAACCTTAATCTGTCTGAATTTGTTGCACCCAAGCAAAGCTCTACTTGCTTGCGACACTTCAGATGTGGACCATTTTTTATAGGTTTCGGAGCTGGCATGTCAATTAGTTTCCTTCCCTAGTTGATTAATTGGCCACTGTGATAGAGATTTTGCACCCTATGGCCTTCACAAGAGTTACTTAGTAGAGACACATGTTGAAAGGGCTTCCGAGACAAGTGAAGCTCACTAGCTCAGCATTCAGTTGCTTCCCACGCTTCACCAACTGAACAAGGTTTATATATATCATATGATCCTACCTTGTACTTATTCTTAGAATAAGGAAACTCTTAGTCAGTGCGACCAACTGAAGGATACGCCATGGGTGTTCTGACACTGGTTCATATCCTTATCAGCTTTGCTGCTTGTGCTGAAGCTCTAAGGAGGGCAGACTTCCCTCAAGGTTTTGTCTTTGGCACTGCTTCTTCAGCTTACAAGGTGTGGCCTCTTTGATTTCAACCGTTGTGCTCTCAGTTCGATGTCTGATTCTGGTCAATATGTTATCAGTATGAAGGCGCTGTCAACGAGGGTCAACGTGGACCTACAATATGGGATACTCTTGAGACAACCCGGTGAGATAATGAGGATTATGTTGCAAATAGTGCAGTAATGAGATGCTAACCTGTCCAGAATTGTGACTCAATTAGCATTTATTTTGCAGGTCGGGTGATAAATTTCAGCAATGCAGATATTGCCGTTGATCACTACCATCGTTATAAGGTAAGCTGTCAATGATTCATATATATGCCTCTGCTATCTTCTGTTTGATTTAATTCATTCGATTGTTCTACTAAAGCTGAAAACTTCTATTTTTTGAAAGCATCAAATCCCTCCATAAATGAATTTCTTGGCATTTGTTTGAAAAGTTGCCTACCTTTCATGAGGCCATCCTCTGGCAATTTTAATTTGTAAGAATTGAAATCATGTGTTCATTTTATTGTTCCTTTCATGTCTGTAAGAATCATTCTATTTATTATTTTACATAATTATATCCTACCTTCATCTTCTTCTAGTAATTTCCTCCTTTTTCTAGTGCTTTGACATTTTAGTTACCAAAAAAATCTGATAGTCCACTTCTCTGGCATGCTGCTGCCAAAAGTAGGATAGTGAGCAGAGGTTTTCCTTAATATGAAGCACCATTTGCATCAACGATAAAGTTTTCAGACATAAAGATTTTACTATTTTCGCAAATTAGCTTAACCTCTATGACTAAGTAGTTAATTGAATAAGAATATTGGTTACACTGAAAACTATCCAGAAACAACAAGCCTAACATTTGACTGGCAGGAAGATGTGGACTTGATTAAGGACATTGGCATGGATGCGTACCGGTTCTCTATCTCATGGTCTCGTATCTTTCCAATTATGCAATAAGAAATTTCTTTGTAAAATATGTTATTTTTCTTTTAGCACTCGATACTATGTAGTTTATCATTTTTCTTGCTAGATGGTACTGGTGATCCTAATGAAGAAGGATTGAATTACTATAACAGCCTCATAGATGTTCTATTAGACAAAGGTATTTCATATTCTATTTTTTTTTTCTCGAACAGCGCAGGAGAACTGCGCGTCATTTCATTAAGGTAGAGAAAGAATTACAAAGGTCCAAGTGACCCAACACACACACCCCACTCCCCAGAACTAGGTTACTGACTCGCCACACAAAAAGGAAAAAAGGACGACCAAACTTCTCCAAGCATTAAGCTCCAGAAGGCAACAACCTAAGAACCAGCTCCTGGAGTTTGGAGGCCCCGGCCGAGCACCAGAGCCCACCCTCCGAGCTAATAGCCCTAAGGACTTCCTGAACACTTGGCCTTTTATTATCAAAGACACAAGAATTGCGATGCTTCCAAATCTCCCAAGCCACCAAAATTATCAAGGAGTTGAGGCCTTTACGCAAATCCTTACGGACAGCCGCAGTTGTTCTCTTCCACCACCCTGAGAAACGAATCACAGTAGGCTGTGGTGCCAACTGTAGCATTCCCAACTGATGCAAAACCAGGGCCCAAACTTGCCGGGCAAAAACACAGCCCACTAGCAAATGGTTTATTGTTTCATCCTCTTGATCACATAATGGGCAAGCCTCAGGATGGGGCAGATTCCTCCTTGCAAGTCTATCGGCTGTCCAGACCCGGTTGTGAAATACCAACCAGATGAAGAACTTGCAGCGCGGAGGAGCCCAAGTTTTCCAGATCCTTCTCCAAGACCCAAACTTGATGGTTCCCTCAAAGAAGGCTGCATAAGCTGATTTACTGGTGTAGGAACCATCCTGAGTTAATTTCCATCTATATTGATCTGGAATCTCCGGATGCAAAATAAATCCATCCACAATGTCCCAAATACGAAGGTACTCAAGCATGACCACAACTGTACGTGCTCATATTCTAAATTTCAATGCGTCAAATCTGAATTGTTGCCAACTCTCAGTTTTTTATTATCATTATTTGGTTTCCTCTATATTGTGGGGTCAGGTATACAACCATATGTAACACTCTTTCACTGGGACCTTCCGCAAGCACTAGAAGACAGATACGGTGGATGGTTAAACTCCCAAATCGTGTATGCAACTATTATATTGGTCTTCTTTTTTTAGGAGACCATCGCTTGCACTGTCTATATAGCATAAAACTAGATTGAGGGAAAGTGGTTTTATTGATGTTTGGCAGCTAAATTATGCAGGGATGATTTCGTTCACTATGCCTCTACTTGCTTCACGGAATTTGGAGATAGAGTGAAACACTGGATCACTTTCATTGAGCCCCATAATTTTGCGATTGATGGCTATGACTTTGGCATCCAGGCACCTGGGAGGTGTTCTATTCTGTCTCATATATTCTGTAGGGAGGGAAAGTCATCAACTGAACCGTATGTTGTAGCTCACAACATACTCATAGCGCATGCTGGTGCTTTTCATTCTTATAAGCAGCAATTCAAGGTAATTTACTATAAACACATGCACGAGATGTATCAAAAAGTTTAAAAAAAACATGAATGGTTTTATGTATTCATTGCAGAAAGAACAAGGAGGTATCATCGGCATTGCACTTGATTCAAAGTGGTATGAACCATTGTCAGATGTTGATGAGGACACAGAGGCAGCAGCACGTGCAATGGACTTTGAGCTTTGATGGTGATACATCTACCACAATTTCATATAACCACATCAGTTCAATTCCTCTGTAGTTGCAGTACATAGCTGTTGCTCATAATATTAATTATGAAATTTTCCAAGTGTGAATACAGGTTCCTGGATCCCTTAATGTTTGGCCACTATCCTCCTATGCAGAAACTTGCGGGCGATAGGCTGCCTCAGTTTTCAACTCAGGCTTCGAAGTTAGTATCAGGCTCACTGGATTTTGTGGGCATAAACCACTATACCACATTGTATGTTAGGAACGACAGAATGCGGATCAGGAAACTTGTAATGAATGATGCTTCAACTGATTCTGCGATCATACCTACTGGTTAGTCTTGTTAAACAAACGAGTCTACCCCCTTTTTTTTTCTTATTTTCAGTTACTGAATTTTCCTTTGTGTCCACTCTGACAGCTTATAGACATGGAAAGAAAATAGGAGAAACGGTACAATTTCCTCAGTTAACTTGTTCTACTTCTAGTTTCCATCCTCTAGTCACCAAATGCTAGATTGACAGCTGTGTTTGTCAACTTCCAGGCAGCGTCTGGATGGCTGCACATAGTACCCTGGGGCATGTTCAAGCTGATGAAGTACATCAAAGAAATGTATGGAAATCCACCTGTGATCATTACTGAAAACGGTAAGTGGCTAAAAAGGATTCTAGTGTTAATAGCTGATTAAAGTTTCTGCCTCGAAAATTTCACTAGCATAAGAGGTGTTTAAATGGCAGGCATGGATGATGCGAACAATCGGTTTTCGAGGTTAGAGAATGATCTGCAGGATGATAAACGGATACAGTACCACAACGACTACATGTCTAACCTCCTAGATGCAATAAGGTGAGGTTCCACTTCCATGCCCATGCATCTGACTAGAATAGCCAAAGCTAACACTGTCCATCAGCATTCAGCAGTATGTTATTGCCCCTGAACGGCTGTTCAATCTGGAACCACTGCAGGAAGGAAGGCTGCAACGTCCACGGTTACTTCGTATGGTCACTGCTCGATAACTGGGAGTGGAACTTTTGTGTACACGGTGCGGTTTGGACTCTACTACATTGACTACAACAACAACCTGACAAAGATACCCAAGGCGTCAGTGGAATGGTTCAGGCAGGTCTTGGCCCAGAAGACGGCTAATTTGGAGTATAGTGGTTCGACAGTAGCCATTAGTTAAGTGTATATAATGTCTACAGCTACCATCTGTACATGCTTAAGTACCTTTGGATTAGATTGTGATTATTCTTGATGTATATAGCCCACCATTTGGACGACCTTCAACCGCACAGTTGAATGTGTCGTATGCTTGTTGTACATTGATTGATTGATGCTACAGAAATTAACGAGAATGAGATTGCAGCGTCACATCCTGTATGTTCATGGTACCACCAATGTTGAAATTTCAGTGAAATGGTCCAAGAATCTTGCGCCGGACAAGTGAGGAGCAAAGCCTTTGCAACCTCCGGCTCCCGGGGGGGGGGGGTTGGGCGCGGGGGGATGGGGGGGGGTGGGCATCGAAGTCTGATATTCCCTGCACCAACTGGTCTGACTGAGCTCCCCCTCTTTTGTGTCTGAAAGTAAAATGCCGAGGCGGGCGATGTGTAAAACCCATCGCAATTTCACGCCAAGACGTGCCTGCCGTCTGTCTGCCGAACATCTATCTTTTCCCAGCAAGCATGGCACTGCATCTCCGTTGCTTTCCCAGTTCCAGTCTGCTGTCTGCAGCTTACCCCAAAAACGAAACACCCAACTGCCCAAGCAAACCGCTTGACACAAGAGGCAACTGCACAGGAAAAAGTCATGGAAAATGTGGAGACGGAGCCGAGGCGAGAGACGGGGAAAAGGGCAGCCAGACGAAGCTGGCCCGGCAGGTAGGTACGGGTAAGCTGACTGTCCTTCGCGTCCGCATGGACCATGCTGCTTGCGAGCAAAAGAGCCAAAGAGGAGGTGGAAAACCCCCAAAAAGCGGCGCCCAAGCTTCGAAGCCGGAATCCAAAGCTGTACGAGATCCTCGTGCGGAAAGCTTTGGTTGCTTGCTAACCGTAGCGAGCTGGACCGGAACAAAGCGGTTCAGAGTTTCAGACGCTGCCGAGATTTTTGTATAACGGCATGGTTCTGAGTTCTGACTGAAGCTTCCATGGAAATTTTGTGTCTGAAAGTCAGCAGCAGATGCTTGGCCTTGGCATGCTGCTGTAGCTGAGTCCTGCGACAGCACGGCTGCCACGCGCCACCAAAAGTTGGGCAGGAAACTTCTTATGGATAATAATTAATTAAGTAGACAGATAAGTAAGACAGCCAGACAGGTAAGGTTCACGAGACGTTAACATAATAATCCATGACGTTGAGCATCGGAACTGGTGAGGTTCCTGCTCACTTTCTGGATCAGCTATGCTTATCAGTTATGATACAGTAGTCCTGTTCGTTTGGAGGAATCTAGAAAAATTTAGGAGAGAACCATTCGTGAACAGTAGAAAACCATCTGTGAACAGTGCTTTTTTAGCGTCAGCTAAACGAGCCCAGTGTTTTTCTCTTACAACAAAACAGCATCAGCCGGCTTATAAGTCATAGAAACGATCAAGCGGACAGGGTCCTGATCCAGCTTTTCCTGTAGCTATCTCTGATCACATACTGTACAACATACAAGTAACACCAAATATCTCGCGTTAAAAATTGGACAGAGGATCGCTCGCTAGTCTGTATACCGTATATATTTGTGTTAAGAGATGGATAATAGGAATCCCTTGCTAGGAAGCACAACAGCTCATCTTCGTATATAGTAGTATGCTATGAGATCTGAAGCACAAAACTTTCCAATCAAATACGCACGAATCCCGTGCGCTTCACTTTTTTTTTTGTATGCACAGTTACACGCTTTGGTGCTACGGTGCCATAGAGGCATGGAGCTGGAACAGCGTCACTGGAACAAAGAGCAAGATATCACCGCGACAGTTACTGCCAGTACCAATCATCTGGACGCTCGGATCGGGTCTCCCGTGGACGGCCCGGCAGGTACGCCGTACGCGCTACGACAATTGACATCTTCGCTTGAGTACTGTCGGTCAATTTATTGTGAAACAAAAATAATATTTATTGACCAAAAAAGTATAACTTATAAACCAGACGAATACTGCGCATCTCATTGAACGTACGGTAACAACAATCGCCGTCCGTGGCCACGCACGCCATGACAGTACTCCAGTACTCCACGTCCTTTTTCCGCGAGGCGCAGCATCCGTCACACCACACGGCGAAGCGAGCCGCGATCGCGAACGGCCACACGCGGACACGCTCCCGCCCGCCGAGGCCGAAGCGCGTAGGAAGGCGCGCGCGCGGTCCGCCCGTCCGCCGTCCAGCCCAGGGCCAACCAAGCCAACCTGTCCCGGTCGGTGCGTGTCCGCCTGCCCTTGCCCCTCTCGTCAGCCAGAGCCACCCCGCGCGAACCAACCGGGGCGTCGGGTATCAATCGCGCGATCCGCAGCGCGGGCAGCGCGCGCACGTGGCCCCCATCCAGCGGCCCCCGCCCCCGCGTCCCGCGTGGCCACGGCGGCACCGCGGCAGGGCAGGCAGGCACCTTCCCTGAAGAAGCCCCAGCCCGGCAGGCGCCAGCCGTCCCCGTCCCCCGCCTATTTATTCTCGCCCCTCCCATCCCCACCATCCATCGCTTCGTCGTCCTCTTCCACACCACACCGAGAAAGAACAAGCATCAGCCACCGGAGCTCACAGAATCACAATCAGCATCCGCCGCCCGCCGCCGACCATCCATCCTCCTCCTTCTACACACATGGCGTCACGGCAGCAGAGGCAGCAGCAGGCGGGAGCGGCAGCGGCGGCGTCCTCGGCGGCCGTGGACTTCGAGGACTACCTGCCGGTGATGGCGGAGCGGCTGGGCGAGGACGGGCTGATGCGGGAGCTGGCGAGCGGGTTCCGCCTGCTCATGGACCCGGCGCGGGGGCTCATCACCTTCGACAGCCTCCGCCGCAACGCGCCGCTGCTGGGCCTGGGCGGCATGTCCGACGACGACCTCCGCGGGATGCTCGCCGAGGGCGACTTCGACGGCGACGGCGCGCTCAGCGAGATGGAGTTCTGCGTCCTCATGGTGCGCCTCAGCCCCGAGCTCATGGACGAGCCCCGCAGGTGGCTCGACGACGCCGTCGACCAGGCGTCCCGCTTCCTCTTCACCAGCTGATCGGTCGGTCGGTCGGTCGAGATGGATAGGAAATTGATTGTCGACGTCGTCGTCTTCACTTCTTTTTTGAATTCTTCTTCTTCTTGCCGTTGTTCATAGCTGGATCGTCAGGCAGGGATGGACTGCTGATTGGTCGATGGATTTCCATCCGTGTGTACTCATCTGCTGTTCCTTCCTTCCCATTTCCCAATGGAGTCTGAATTAATCAATCAACATAGTACATGCTTCCCCTTCTAACCATCACATTTTCACACGGTGCACATTGCGTCTCTGCTGCTTGTAATCGAGCTTAGCATTGGGTACAGACTACAGAGGAAATTCTCCGGACGACCTTTTGGCAACACGGCTGTGAATGCTGACTATGCGATTCCCAGTTCGGCAGTTCTATACTCCTGCTTCGTAGGAAAACATGTGGAAAAAAAGGATTTTTTTTTTTTGCACAACAAATAATCAGATTGGGTCGAGAACTCGAGATGGATCAGTATTGTAGTATGATCGTGCATTCAGCGACCCTGAAGTCTTCTTCTCGAACAGTAGCGGCAGTTTCGGTTGACCTTGTGCCGTGATGCGCACAACCAAAAGGAAATGGAGGCGACACAGAAGCACTTGTTTGGTCAAAGCCTCAAGCGTTAGCAGCCAGTGCTGCCCGAGGGTCAGGTCAGCGTCAGCGAGCGGGACCGCGCAGCCGCCGAGTGCTTCTCGCGGGGAGGGCGTTTGATGAGGCAGGGCGAAAGAAAAACGAGCAGCCACAGGCGCGGAACGGGACCCCAGTTCAACACGGCGAAAGCAGGGGAGACGGGCGTGAGTGTTTTCACTTTCTCAGTGTGTTTACTCGGTCCGCACCAACGTCCTCGTCACGAAACGGAACGGAAGCCGGCCCCGGTTTGGGTATAAGCCGGGCTCGGTTTCGTTTCGCCGCCCTTTTGTTTGACAGGAACTGGAACTCCCTCACGTCGGAGCCGCTTTTCATCTGCCTTTTGTGTGTGTTCTTGGGCTGACGCGAGGAGTCGCATGTAAGCTGGAGCGGGAGCTTCCGGAAAGGTGGCCGGAAGCTTCAAAAGCGAGGCACAGGAGGTACGGGCCACAGGGAGTCGGGGACCCGAGGAAAGCAGCCGAAAGCGACGCTCCCTCGAGGCGTTTCTCTATTTCCCCTCCTCTTCGGTTCCGGGTCAGCAGCGTCAGGCAGGCTCCGAGCCTCCAGCTCTCCACGTCAGTGACGTCACCGCTGCGATTCGCCCGATCTAAATACGCACCGCCTGGAGTCTGGACCATGGCAGCGCCGTCGGCGTCGGCGGCAGCGACGTCTGGTCCACTGCCGTGTCCGATCGCCTATCCACCCACTAACTTGTTGTCTCCGGCATGAGCTGAGCTTCGCACCCAATTTCCCGGGCTGACTCTTACCCAATTTCGTCTGCGTCCACGCCGGCCGCCGGCTTGGCTGAAACCGATGTGACTGACGCCGCGTCGTCACGATCCAACCAACGCCCGGCGGCATCAAGTCGGGCCGCCGTGACAGTCTGATCTGAATCTGGCAGAGATGCATGAACCATCGGTCGGTCTCGCCGCCCGTCCCGTTTCTCTCGCGCCTTGTTCAGTGCACGCGCAGGCCCCATAACAAATCATTGGGGGCTTCTCGGATCTTTTCAACTCGAACACGTCGTAATCTCTGCACAGTCGCTGGTTCATCGAGGTGGTCCCATGCACGTACGAACGTCAGATTATTGGTTCCGTTCTGATGGAAATATATACGTACAAATCGTGGAGTAAGATTCTTTGGTACTCCTGCTCCAGATGCTAGCCGATGCGCTCGCCGGGCGTGAACAAAAGCCAGATGCCAGATCACGGCCAAGCTGTAAAGCCTGCAACCTTCGTGCCTGCCTCTCGTAGCTTCCTTTGTCTAGTGCCATTTGCCGCACGTTGATCTGCCCCATGCTACCAGACGGACGACGCAGTAGCATTATATTAACTAATCTGATGATTGACACTGAGCT